GAGGCCACCGACGGGGATGCTACTACCATAGACTCAGCGGCAGCCGAGGTACAAGGCGCCTTCCAACATTCCGAAGAGGACACCAACTCCCACTGCATCACCACGCAGTAAGTTGGCAAGAAGCACCACAGCATATGACACGTGCACTGCCTCGCCGACCTCCCCAGCGATGCGACTGCCACCGCCTCGGCTGACAGAGCACCGTCCGCGCGTGCTGGCGCCCAGACCGAGGCTTCGACCCAGCCCGCGGACGCTGGCCCCACGCAGGTCAGAGACGTGGCGACCGGCGGCGCTGGCGACAACGACCGCCGCCGCGCCGAGGACGATCCGCCACGGGCTAAAATCTCTCGGAGGGCCACTTCCCCGTCGCCGTGTTCTCCAGGACAGCGCTGGACCACCCCGACGGCGGCGTCAATCAGGTCCGCGCGGCATGGCAGGACGGGGCTCCGGAGGAAATGTGCAAAGACGCGTGCCTCACCTCCGGGCAGGGCGGCATCATCCGCATCGCGTGGGTCGCCCGCCGCCCAATCCGAGGGCGTGGGCCTCCGCTGGCAACTGGGCCTGGGGAGAACGCGCCTCGGGCGACGCCGCCCGCCAGCCGCGCGAGCGTTGCGAGGGGCCGTGACTGCCCCGACCGTGCGATCGAGTGCAGGGCGTGCCTTTCCAGCATCGCCGACGCGATCGCCAGCCTGCGCCTGGGCCAGGAGACCGCAGCCCTTGACGAAATGATGCCGCGTCGCACTGGACATCGCGCGCCGCGCCATTTTCCGCGAGGAGACCGCGGGCCGCCGGGCCCTCCCGCGCGTGCCCGGCCCCGCGGCAGTTATTGGATTTAGTGGTGGAACCCAGGACCACCGCCAGTGATCGTCCGACCCGACGTCGCGCGCATGCGCGCCCCCACTTCCCCGCTGCCCTCCAAGGGCGCGCGGGGGCCCGGCGCCGAGAGCGGCCGCTCGCTCACTCGGCGGCGACCTCTGCCCAGTGCCGGGCGACTTAGGACCCCCTGCCCAGTGTTTGGACCAGGGGCCGTGGCGCGGGCAACGCTCGCCGCAAGGGGAACCGGTGCCAAGTCCAGCCTCTCCCGGCGACAACCTCCGCAGTCGCAGCCGCCTTCTGCGGCGCGCGGCCCCCCCGCGCCTCCAGCGGTTCTGCTTCCGCAGGCGACTCTGACCCTTTCCAACCCGCGGGCTCACTGGCTGTGAGTCCTTCCAGGGCAGAGGCGGCGCCAGCTACTGCGCGACGCGGAGCCGGCGGCACCGACCTACGCTGCGCCAGCTCCTGATCGCCAGCGTCGCGCTTCCGGCTCCGCCGCGCGAGACGCGATCGACCCCCCCGCCGCCGCCGACGCCGACGTCCATCTCCACGCTCGCCTGCTCCCACTTTCGGTAACCTCCGCGCCTCGTATCCATGCTTCTGCGCCGCCGCACTGGCTAACTCGGTTGTCCTGCGGGTACTTCGCCGAGTTCAATTTCACGAACTCCCCGTTCGTCGGCCTCGCCCTCGCCTGCGTCCACTGAGGCGCGCCCAGGGGCCCCCTGACCTTCTCCCGCCGCGCCTTCTCTTCCCGTGGCCCCCCCCCGCTCTTTCGCCTGCAAGCCTTTCCCCCGCCTCTGCGTCGCCGTCCGCGCGCCGAAGGGCGCGGCGCTCGGCTTTGGCCGCCGCGAGGGGGCGCGGCCTTCGCGGCGGCGTTGTGGGCAAGGTTTCGGACGCAAGAGCCGCGCCGACGGAGCCCTCGCCCTCCCTTCGGAGGTGGGGGCCCCGCTAGGGCGACACCCCGTCCCTGCCTGCCCACTTTATTCCCGCTTCTTGCGCTCGCCCATCTCCGTCGCAGCCGAGCGTCCAGGGCGCCCGACCTTATTCGCCTAGCGCTCAGTGTTGGCCCCCTCCCCCCCCGACGCCGCCCACTCCTGGTGCGCGCCGCCGCGTCGCGCGCGCCCTCCCACGCCTCGCGATGACCTGTAGGTCTCGGGATGACAGGAGGATGGGCCTCTTCTCGAGGAGTCGGTCACCGAGGTGGGCCTCCCGTTCCCTTCAATGTGGGGTGGGGCATTCACGCGGAGCATCCATCCCCGCGCTCGCTTAGCGCCAGCGCCTGCTTTCTCTTTTTCTCCGTCCTCCATGGTCCCAGGTACCCTCGTCGGGTTCCCGCGGACCGAACCTGTCTCCAACCCGAACCCAGGGAGTAGGAGGTGGAGGAGGTGGGGGCGCAGCATCTCGCGGCAGTGCTAGGCATCGCGCTGCCTCGCGCCTGCGCGCTTTGGCGCCCAGCTCGAGGCCTGCGGGGTTGACCCGACGTTGTGCTCCCGCGCCACAGCGGCCCACGGGGTTGTCCCAATGGCCTGGCCCGCGGGGTTGCCCCGACGGTTTCGCAAACCTACCGTCGGATAGTGCGCGCATGCTAGCCGCTGCGGCGAGGGCGCCAGCGAACATCGGCATGCGTGCCCTGGCCACATGGAAGGAGAGGTGCATGAGGAAAACAATGCGGGATGGAGAGAGAAGGAGAAGCAGGAAGAGGAGGAGGGTTAGGAGGACGAGGAGGAGAAAGAGGAGGAGGAGGAGGAGGAGGAGGAGGAGGAGGAGGAGGAGGAGGAGGAGGAGGACGAGCACGAGGAGGAGGAGGAAGAGGAGGAAGGAGGAGGTAGGAGGAGGGAGCAGGAAGAAATCCTCAGCCAAGCTGCGCATCGTGTGCGGCCCCCCCCGTCGACATATTCTTATTGTGGGAAATGCCCCAGTGGAAGTGCCCCACTGGAAGGCACCGTTCTTGGGGCACCAATGCCGCGAATCAGAATGATTGGTGCGTCCTGACAAGTATAAGCCGTGCTATGATGATGTTCTTGGGGATTTAGCAAAGCGAATTTACATGACCGTTGCGTCCGGACAAACCTAAATCGTTCCAGAACACCGTTCTGGGCCAGCCGTGCGATTTCATCAAACGGCTGCAGCATTCCATGACCGATGATCGCGGCGCTAATGCTTTAACGAAGCTGCTGCGACCTGTTAAAACGAATGTGCGCGGCGCTAAGGCGATGACCACATTAAAAACCAACCGCCCTCCATCCATGAAGCACTTGGCACATTCCAAACATCAGGATGGTAAGTGGGGGGGGGGGTACGTCTCAGGCGAAATGCCTTGCCCTCCCTGCGGACACGTCTGGGGGTGCGGCGACAAGGAAATGTTTGTAAGGGGGGGGTCGAGGAGGAGTTCGGAGAAGGAGGAGGATGAGAATGGAGGAGGAGGATGGAGGACGAGGAGGAGGAAGATAAGGAAGACGATGATGATGATGATGATGATGATGATGATGATGATGATGATGATGATGATGATGATGCTGATGATGATGATGATGATGATGATGAGCTGATGATGATAAGGATGATGATGATGACCATGATGATGCTGATGATGATGATGATGATGAGGATGAGGATGAGGATGAGGATGACGATGACGATGACGATGATGATGATGCTGATGCTGATGATGCTGATGCTGATGATGCTGATGATGATGGTGATGCTGATGCTGATGATGATGATGGTGATGATGATGGTGATGATGATGGTGATGATGATGGTGATGATGATGATGATGATGCTGATTCTGATGCTGATGCTGATGATGATGAGGATGAGCATGATGATGATGCTGATGATGATGATGCTGATGATGATGATGCTGATGCTGATGCTGATGCTGATGATGATGATGATGCTGATGCTGATGATGCTGATGACGATGCTGATGATGATGATGATGATGATGATGATGATGATGATGATGATGATGATGATGATGATGATGATGATGATGATGATGATGATGATGATGATGATGATGATGATGATGATGATGATGATGATGATGATGATGATGATGATGAAGATGTTGATGATGATGATGATGATGGTGATGATGATGATGATGATGATGATGATGATGATGATGATGATGATGATG